AGGGGGCCACCCCCATAACCCCACCCCCCGTACTGCAAGGGTTAAATCTTCATTTTTCACTAGAGGATAGAATAAAGAAGGAATACTCATCCGATCTTCGGTCCCGCCTGACTGATAGGCCGGGCCCTGCAGCCTCTTCACCCCCTGGGCTCTGGCGATCTAATGCATGTGAAGAGGCTGCACCCCGTGGGCTCTGGTGCGTTAGATCACGCCGGATCCAATGCGCCAGAGCCCAGCATTAGGCTGTCTAATCGGCCTCATGTCTAATGCCAGTCTGTTAGATGTGAGGACACCGAGGGACATACCACACCTGGAATGGAGGGGTAGAGAGGTGATTGGTCACTGCCGCAGGACCGAGGATCGGGTGACTGTACCTTCTTTACTCCATCCCCTAGAGGGACAAAAAAAACAAGCAGTTAACCCTTGCAGTACCGGGGTAGCCCCACTGCAAGTGTTACCTGTGCCGAAAATCTAAACTGTATACAGTGAGACATGACGGCAGACATATTGGAAAACCGATTCGGGGTTTACTTTAATAGAGAACTATGAGGTCAGTGTTTTTGCTCCCCATAGTTCTCTTAAGGGTCACGGGAGGACATATACTAACGTCCTCCCGTGACCCAAAGCTCAGTATACCACGAGCTACAGCTCGCAGTATATTGAGACCGCCGCAGCCGGGACGGATCCCTATCTAGAGGCAGAGCCAGCTGTGCCCGCCTCCTCCCCCGTCCGTTCCTCCAGTCAGCGCTGGAGGATCGGAGCGGGGAGGGGGGGAATCCCATCCCTGCAGGGAGCCGTGAGTGACAGTCAGGGACATGATCGAGAAGTGAGTGATCGAGGTTTAGGTGTTCGCTCACTTCCCGATCTATTGAGCCGACATGCGACAGTTTCATTGTCACACATCGTCTCGAACTATGAGGAGGAGTGATTTTCACTCGCCTCATAGTTCTCCTTTAAGGCCGACACAACAATAGCATCCAATGTACATAGTTTGTTTTCGGGGGGGGGGGGGTAATATTGTGGCGTCATGCTCCATGT